GGATGGAAAAGACAGGAGGGAGAGGTAGAAACAAAGAAAGAGTGGAAGTGGCGACCCAGTTCCATCAATGCTTGTTTGTGTTTTTGGCGGCGCAGCAGTGAAGAAGCATTGTGGCATGGAGTGGTGGTGATTGGGGGGTGAAAGAAACATACTTTTGTGAGAACATGACCACACTTTGCACACATCATGCAAAGTCAGACCCAAGACATCCATGTGAGGGTGCAGTTTATGGATGAGTACTCACTACACAACGTGATTTTGTAGATTTATGATTCATTTATAAGTCAGAGATCAGCACAATCAACCATCAACCAAAAGCCTTAAGTGGATACTTTTGCCATTTTAAAGTGTGGTAAATGGTAAAGGGCCTGTAATTGTATAGCGTCTTCTCAGGGTTCTACAGCCCCCCAAAGTCCCTCACAACAATCCAACACATTCTCACTCCCAGCGCATCAAAAACAAATGCTTGGTAAGCCACCCTCCGCGTCAAACCCCTGACGCCAAACGTGCCCATTTTCATCACTTATGTACAAAAAGGGGGTTTTCTCCTTTCTGACTGCAAATCCTAAAACAAAGTAAAACTGACGCGATGGGATGTCTGCCGCTGCTGCACCGAACCAGCTCATTTGTCCGCACCTAAATCTTAATGCTTTGCTATTTATAACCTTCCCCTCACCCTCACCGTAACCCTCTTGCTACCTAAAACGTTACTCTCACAGTGACCAAGCGTTTGTTTCCCGTGCATTCTGACAGTGAATTTTCGGATTTGCCGCCCAGGCAAGGAGAACATTAGAACATACCATCTGGCGAGGGGGAGGTTACAAATACCCTCTACTTCTAACCTCCACCTTGGTAGTTGAAACCTCTTGCCTCGTGTTGCCTCAGTCCAAACCCAACAAATTTTATTTGGTAAACAAACGCTTGGTCACTGTATAGGTAAAGTGTTAGCTAGCAAGATGGTTAAGGTTAGGATAGGCGTGAGGGGAAGGTTAAATAACAAAAGGATAAGGTTCGGGTGCGGTACAATGAGCTCTTTTTGTGCCCCGGCAGCAGACATCCCATCGCGTCGGTTTTACTTTGTTTTAGGATCTGCAGTCAGAAAGGAGAAAACCCCATTTTTGTACATAAGTGACGAAAAAGGGCACTTTTGGCATCAGGGGTGTGACGCGGAGGATGGCTGACCAAGCGTTTGTTTTTGATGCGCTGGGAGTGAGAATGTGTTGAACAATCAGACATCCACCCATTCACACACACATTCGCACACTAGTGGGGATGAGCTGCAATGCAGCTACAGCTGCCCTGGGGCACACTGACAGAGGCGAGGCCTGCCGAACACTGGCGCCACCAGCAGCCAAGGAGGGTTAAGTGTCTTGTCTTTGAACATGACAGTTATTAACTTTATAATGCAAAACTGCCTGGGGCGCAAAGATTTCTAAAATACTGTAACACTTGGACAACTTACTGGAAATTTACAAAACTGGAGCTGTTTTAAGATAGCAACAATCTACTATAATTGTGAGTTTTTTGGATCGTATTCGGGTCCAGAGCATGATGTCATCAAGGAGGAGATTTAGAAATTGTGAACGGCTACAGCTCCAGCCCCTGCTCTTTGCCACCTTTTGGAAGGAGACGAAAGCCACGCCTCATGCTGAACACGTGCACACAAATAGCCTTGTAGCGCTAAAGGACAATAATGTTTTTGATAAATCCTGCTCAGACAATCCTGATTCTAACAGCCGATTTATCTCCTCAGCCTTCATCAGGTTTTACAGGAGCTGCTGATCACTCATTTTTAATAAAATCTGCAGTGATCAAGCCGGAAAGCATTTAATAACTTCCCTCACTATGTTAGCACACCCCTGCTAACGCTACAACAGGCTAACACAATAGTCTGACGTAGCATGAGGTTGAACACTAAGCTAATCACTTAGCTCCTAAACAAACAAGATAAATCCCTTTTTGCTCCCCTCCCTCGTCTTCCACTGTTAGCTTGAAGTTTACAGACTGACATGAATTCAATGCAGATTGAGTTAGCATTCAAGCAAGGTTATTGTGCTAAGCGGAGGCGTGTGCATCACCCCGCAGTGCATGCTGGGAACTGGGGTACATTCTTGATGATTGACATCTCCCTCTTTTGGATATGAAAACCTTTTAGTCAACTTTCTATGTTTGCGTAAATGATTCATGTTGCTGTAAAGGCCAGCGGAGGGGCTTAGGGGAAATATCATTTTTGAAAGATTATCTTCTTTATGTCCGTGAGCAGGGTCAGATAGCTAGATCAAAGCATTTTTACGTTTCTTTAAAAATTTTAAACTGCATACCTCAGCTTTAAGAAGCAAATAAGATTTTAATTATTTAAAACATAAAAACATGCCTTAAAATAATTTATAGCCAAGAATTCAGTAAATCACAAGTCGTCTCAAGGTGCTTTAGTAAATAAGAGTTTCTTATAAGGAACCCAGCAGATTGCATAGAGCCACTGACAGAGTCACATTTTCAAAAGATTAAAATGACCAATAAGATGTGATGATTCCATATAAATATGAAATATCAATCTGATTGATCTTTCGATGTTTAATTAGAAGATTATAGTTACTTTACTTATTCAGGGACCATGAACACAATTCGTATTAATTTAGACAGAGTCAAGTGTATAGTTTATAAAAATGAATTTAATTCTTTTCTCTAAACTAATGATTATATATGACAAGCTATGAATGAAATGATGGATATGAAGTGGATGAATGTGATGGATAATTAGCATTTATTTTTCTTGAGGTGTTTTCATTTAATTTCATTCTTGTTTATTCTTGTTGTTGTGATTGGTCAACCAAGTAAAACATATGGAGTGAGATTTTAAACCGGCTCTCTAAAGATTTTGTTCAAAAGCTTGAGTAATATAAATGTTATTATCTCAACCAGAATCAGAAAGTGTTCAAATCAATAAGTCTATATGATATTATGCTCTCTGTGTAGATTATAAAATTGACAAATATTTGTTTTTCATTCAGCACGTCAGTGGTAAGAGAAAGTGTACAGTCTCGTCTCCACCCCGCTTCACAGATTCTGATCTCATCCCAACATGTTTTTTTTTTTGCTTTTAGCACAACAGAAGTTTGGCATTTAGGCAAAAGCAAAAAAGGTTTCCAACTTTCAGTCCGCCCACCATTGAGTGATGTAACTGTGTTTGCCTCTTTTACCACAACTGATTGTTTTCTGATTATCTTTTTCTTCCATTTCTTCCTAATTAAACACAAATTTTTGCACCTGTGACTGCAAAATAACTTGATAAAATATAATATCATATAAAAACAGGTATGCCTGCTTCTTTAAAGTAAAAATTTAATTCAATCGATAAGAGAAATAAAGTGATTTTTCACTTTAATAGGATAAACCCCGTACAACACGCATGTTTCCATGTAATGGCAGAAGACAAGGCTGCGTGCAGGAGCTTTACAATGTTTCAGACATGATGCTCTGCCTTGTAATTCAGTTTGTGATGAATGATGGATTGTGATGCTGCAAAGCCCTGCTGCACTTAGCAGGGCATTTAGTGTTTACAGCAAGAGCCAACTGTGTTCTTTCTCCACAATGTGGCTGCTGATGGTTGGTGAAATGTTAGTTTTTAAACTCATTTGGGGACACCACTATTTAAAGCCTTTGTGTGTGTGTGTGTGCGTGTGTGTGTGTGTGCGTGCGTGCGTGTGTGTGTGAGAGAGACACACACTGATGATTTCTTGCAGCAGTGGTCTGTTGTGATCAGTGCACCGAGTTGCCTTGCTTACTCTAAAAACATGAATTCACATTAAATGTAGATTGCACGCTTTTATGCAATCAAAAAGGCGTGATATTTGGAGTGGTGACACGCGTGGCGCGGCACAGCGCAGCGCAGCACAGGAATTACAAGTGCAAACGTAAGTTCATTTGAGTGTTTAAAGTTAAGTTTTGGCAGCATTTGGGTGGAGGTGCTGAAACGATGGAGGGGCAAACATTCAGTCACATAGATTTAGAGTAATGGGGTCAGGAGCGTGCCGTGGAGCCCTGCTGCGAGGAGAGCCAATGAAGAAGGCTTGTAGAGAGTTGGTAATGAAGAAAAAAAAGTTTTTTTTTTGTTAGAGCAGGTGGAAGAAGGATATGTAGAGACAGGGAGAGCTAATGAGTTGGATTTTCTGGAGACTTGGCATTCTGCTCATGGTGCTTCTCTGTATCTCTCCTCAGTGGAGGAGCTGGCTGGAGCTAGTTTCCTGTCTGAGCCCTGAAGCAGGAGTAAATGAGGGGTGGGGAGGAGGAGGGGGTGGTGGCGGGGGGAGTGAAGAGACGGGGAGGCGGCGAAAGAAGGGGAGGGAGGGGGTGTTGGAAGCAACAGAACAGAGGGAAGGAGGAGAAGGAGGAGGGTGAGGGGCGGGAGGGACCAGTGTTGAAATTGAATGCCAGGGCGCCATGTTCTCACCGCCAGCGTTTCCATGGTTACAGGGTGATTCTGGCGAGTAAGGAAATTTCATTCACTTTGGTATGAAGAGAAAAAAAAACAGGAGGGAGATATTAACAAAGCAGAGAGGAGAAGAAAGGAATACATGGAAGATAAAAAAGATGAGAAACAAAGAAGAAGAGAGAGGAAACATCTACAGCCACCCATCCCCCAGGCGGACTGCCTCGATGTCTTCATTCCTTCTGTTTTTTTGTTTGTGTGTGTGTGTGTGTGTGTGTGTGTGATTCTGTGGTGCTCTGTTTGTTTGCCGCCACCCTATAAGCAAACACAACACCCACCAACAATCTTCACCCAGTTCTTCCTGCAGCCCTGCAGGTACATGGCAAAGAACAAAGAGAGACACTGATAACTGGCTGTGTGTGTGTGTGTGTGTGTGTGTGTGTGTGTGTGTGTGTGTGTGTGTGTGTGTGTCAGATTCTCCTTTTTAGGGAGGAAGGCAATGGGGGTTGGTTTCAGGCTAGTTTTAGGGAGGGGTTTAAAAAAATTAAGAGGCAACGCAATTGTTCACAACATGTTTGACACATTTACGAGGCGGCTGCTGGCATCTCAGAGCCCAAGTTCATCTCAAAGTATTTGTCTCCAGACGCTTTAATTTACCACAATAACAGCTAAAAAGAAAATGAGTGTGTGCAGGTAAAAACTTGAGCACGCAGGCATGTGTGTCAACATGTATAAATACAGGCAAACTCCCAGCCGCCGCTGGCTAACGAAGGCTGACAACTGCATTGGGGTTTGACCGGGATGTCGCTGCAGCCGATGTGACAACTGGACAGCCAGCCAGGCAGCCTCTGCCTACAAATACACACGCAAACAAGTGTGAGCATCGTCCTGATTTCTGATATGAAGCGTAAATATTCTCATCAGCATGTAATCCATAAACACAGGTAGTTACCGCTGAGCTGAGGTGATGTGTGCAGATGTTGAACCATCACAGAGAACATCAGGATGAGATAGTGTTAATGTTATTTTTTTTCATTGTTTGTCTTTCAGTGGCTGAGGAGGGGCTTTGGGAGTGTGGACTGTCCTACGAGTGCAGAACCCTCCTGTTCAAGGCCATACACAACCTGCTGGAAAGGTAAACGTTTTAGTTTGAGCTGCAAAAAAGATGCAAAAACCCAACTTAAGTGATTGCAAATCTTTCTTAACTTTTATCTGGTTTTACAACTTTCTGCAAAATTACATCGAAATCAGTTCTTATCTCACAAAGCACCTCACGTAGAGGAACTGACTTGTTGTATACCCTGTTTACAAAGTTTGCAGCTTTTGTAATTAATAACTTACCTGTTTTGTAGCACTCTCAGCAGCAATTCTGGCTCTAGGGGACCTTAACTAAACTTGTTCAAGGACCAGCTTTTCCCAGCAGACACCGTGAGGGCCAGATGCTCCTCTAAAATGAAGTTCAGTTATTATTCTATTATATTTTCTTAATAATTTAATATATCAAAGTTTCACTCACTTTGATTTAGAAACAAAGTAGAACATGCATTTTCTCTATTCCTGATTGGCTCACAGCCTATTTTTCAAAGAGCAACTTGAAAATGACACGCGCACACACACACACACACACACACACACACACACACACACACACACACACACACACACACACACACACACACACACACACTTTAATGAGAATGTTTCTGTATCCACAAGGTTGATTTGATTACTTTTGGTATCATTTTGATTGATTTTAAATCTTGACATTAGCTGGACAATGTGTAGAGAGTCGTGAGAAACATGTCTAGAATCAGGAGGGTCTTAGCTTCATAATGGGTGGGTTGAAGGTGTGTACAATCAGATTTTTAGCAACTTTAGAGACAGAAATGTGCCAAAAACACTCACACATGAAACAGGACTTTCAGTCATTCTTTTGATTGTAGTTGAAGTTGTTTGGAGAACGTAAAAAAGGTTTACAATATTTGATGTAGCCAAGATTAATTTTGCTGCTAAACTTTAAAGTCCCGCTATTGGGGGACTTTAGGGCCCAAAGGGTTGGGGGACCGGGTGGAAGTATCCGGTGGGCTTGCTGCTCTAGTCTAACTACATTTTCACTTTTAGTTCACTTCCTGTGGTAATATCATGATATTTCTGATGGAAAAACTGTGTTTTCTGACCCTTTTTTCAATAGAATTACTATTAACAATTGGAGATCAGAGTTGTTTTAAAATCACAGAGATAGCCTCTGATCATAGTAGACTAGTCATTATCTTAACTGGAGGTGTTGCAGCCACTTTAACCACAAATAAGCAAGCTAATGTTTTAAAAAAACGATGTAAAAGCTTAAAATGATTGTGTGCATAAACCTTTACAAATGTTTTGAGACTAAAGCTGGTTAAACACTTTAGCTTACTCACAAAGAACAAAGCAACGAAATATTCTCATGTTAAAATGTTCTATTTATTTGGAGTAATTAGAGCTCACATTTTACATGAGATAATAATGATATATAATAGTAATAAAGTTATTAACTCATACACTGCCAGCCGTTTCCTGATCGGTAAAGCCCTTCGCTGCCACCGGTTTTCACCATTTTTACTGTATTTTTAAGAATCACAGAACGTTGCGCGCTAGAATGATGTCAGCGCCAAAACTACAGAAACAAAGAGTAGACTCACCTTTTACATCAGGAAGAATCTGCGCGTTTCTAGCGTTATCCTTTCTTTCATAATCCGTTGTCGAATCTTGATTGGCAGAAGCTTTTTTGGTTCGCACCTCACTTTTTTCACAGCAGCGGCCCAAAACAATCTCTAACACATAGATTTCTGCTTTCTGATCACGTGACCTGTGATGTACGCAGATGAAGATCGGCTTTAGAGCTGAGATGTTTGTTCTCATAGTGCGGGGGCTTGTTCCAATGTCCACACAGTGAAAATATGCAAATGACAACTTTAGTCGTCAATGGCAGTGAACGGTTGGATTTAAAATGATGACTTTTCTCGTCAATAGCAGTGAATGAGTTAATGACCCTTTACAGGGACTCTCTGAAATACTTGAAAACCTTTCACTGATTTTTCTTTTAACGAATTTTTACAAGTTTTTCATTCTTTATTTTTTGCTTTCTAAGCTTTATGTTTTTCTGACAAATTAACTTTCAGACATTTCTTTTACTTTATTGTTTTTGCTACCTTTTAATTTATCTTTGTAAAAGAAGTTTCTGGCAAGGAGTAATGCAGGAGACCGTGTGCAAATTTTTTTTGCCCAATATTGAGCTACTCAGGAATTGATAAGGAATTTGATTGATATAATCAACAATGATCTTCATATAAAAACGTATCAATTCTCACTCCTAGTAGATGTAAACACGAACCCAGTGTCATGTTTGTCGAAATAAACAATCAATAATTAAAAATATTTAAAGTAGGGCTGGGACTTGGTTAAAAATTTTAATCTAATTAACTACAGGCTTTGTAATTAATTAATCTAAATTAATCGCATTTTAATCGTTCAGGAAAATGTGCTCTCAAAGTAAAACTTTTAATTAAAATTATGAGACAGAGAATCAAACATTAGACATGGTTATTACTGTAAACTAAAGCTTTTAATAAAAAAAATGCATTTTAATTTTTCAGATGTCACTGTGCGATATGAAACAAAACCCAAATCAACTAAAATTTATAATTACAAATAGAAAACACCTGCAAAGGGTTCCTGAGCCTTTAAATAGTCTCTGTCTAGTTGAATGACTGAAATAAATTTGACTTTGCACCAGATTCAAATTTTTCCAGTTTCACTTGTTTGTATAATTGGGAGTTTTTATTAGCATTTCTACTCATAATGTAGTAAAAACACATAAATAATAATCCTTCAAATTGACAGTAGAACAGGCACAAATATGATCTAGGACTTAAATGTACTAACTTTTAACACCAGAGCAGGCGTGGCATATTCTGAGAATGATCAGGAACACTAACTGGTTCCAGTTGGATGACTGGAGGATGATGGGATGATAAAAGATCATGGTGAGGAAATAATGATCTGACGAACAGGTGAGCGGACCTTCCTTATATGGGAAGTCCTGATGTCACGTTAAGAAGGGGATGCTGCAGACCCGCAGATTCACGCCTGCAGCAGCGAATCTGGTGTGATCTCCAGCCTGATCACAACTTCCTCGTTCCTCGCTGTCCCTGATGCACTTAAGCATCTGCCCCTTAGCTGATGACAGCTTCAACACACCTCGCTGCTTAATGATAGTAATGCATGTGATGTTTAGACAGTGACTCGTCTCAGAAACATAGAATTCCCCGACAGAATTGTTTAGAAAATCATCAGAAAAGTTTCAGAGTGTTTCTGTTTTAACTTAAACTTCTGTTTTCAACTTTAAGACACGTTGTCTGTGATTGTTTACAGAGTAGTGAGAACAGGAGCGTTCTCCCAGCGGCAGCCAGGTGCCTCTTGTTTGTCTGACTACTTTCGTGAACTACTGTTAGGGCAAAGAATTATTCTGTCTGGTGCTTTAAGCGCTGCACAGATGTTACGTAAATGTTAAAAATATAGCTTACCGCAACTTTTGTAAAGTTTCCGGTGCCACCGGGCAGCCGCAGCTGTATCGATCTCTGAAAAATGTCCGCGACACAGACTTCTTTGTTGTCTGGACGTTTTTTTTCCAAGTTAAGAAAAGAGGCGGACGTGTTTCCTAAATCCTGCATCAGTCCAAGCAAGGCAACTTCTTTCTGTTTTTACTCCGTTTTAGTAGCCATTAGCACTGTGCATTGTTGTGTGCGTCAGTGATATTCAGTCTACAAGGAAATCGTGCAATGACAAAGGTTCCGCCGTGCTTGAAATGCAAGCTGCGATTAAATGTGTTAATTTTTTTTAACGCGTTATTTTTTCTAATTAATTAATCGTTATTAACGTGTTAAAGTCCCGGCCCTAATTTAAATATAGCTTTTAAACACCCCGTTGAGATATTATTTAAAATAATTATATCTTTTTATTAAATTGTTAAATAGGGAGCCTAAGTCACTTCCGCATCATGGGTCCCCGGAAGAACAAAAAAATGAATGCAAGTCAACGGGGATAAAAACGCTATTTTCTAATTCCGCTTGTTATGTGTGTTGGATTTCGCATATGATGTCCGTGAATTTTAAAGACGCATTTTGATACTAAGAACGCGATTATTTTCGAACAGGGGGATACTTTATTTTAGGTTTTGTGAGAAATTAAGTCCAGGACAATAAAAGCGCTTCATGAAAGGGACGTCATCGAACCAGACACAAAGAAAACAGAGGGAAAATGGCTGGGAGTTTAGCATACTTAAAATCCTTCCTTCAGGGGGATAAAACCACCATAAATCAGGTGATGTGGTAAGTAACAGCTACGCTAGGGGAGAGGAGTCAATGTGGTGATGTCATATATGCGATGTGCCGATGTCTAATTCATGGGCTGCATGGTGGCGCAGTGGTTAGCACTGTTGCCTCGCAGCACGAAGGTCGCAGGTTCAAAACTCGCCTTTCTGCGTGGAGTTGCGTGTTCTCCCCATGCATGCGTGGGTTTCCTCCGGGTGCTCTGGTTTCCCCCACAGATCACAACATGCTCTATAGGTTATAAAAAACAAAATGTTCGTCGCTTTGGATAAAAGCGTCTGCAAAATGAATAAACATAAACATCATAGTCATGCTAATACAAACATTTACAAGTTGATAAATATCAAATTACGTGACAGGCATGGTCCCATCATTAGTTTTCAAGTACATCATATGTGCGATCCAGGGCGTAAGGCAAAGCGGATTAGAAATTAGCTCTTTTAACTCCGTTGACTTGCATTCATTTTTTTATTCTTCCGGGGACCCATGAGCCGAACGGAATGGGAGGAGACTTCGACTCCCTATGTTCAACCTTTAAGCAACTAGTTAAACCAGTTCACTTAACTTTTCCTAAGTAAATTCAACATTTCATTTCTTAAGAGTGCACTTGTGCTCAAAGTTTCATAAAGAACTCCCCGGACCAAACAAACAATTCACCAGATAAACGACCATGGGTTTCTGTCATAAATTTTATCTTAATGAAATTATAATCTGAGCGCTGAATCACTTGCCCAAGTACCCAAAGCTCTCCTTTCTGAGTCGATGCCATCTGTTAAATGAAGCAGCACATATTTGCTCTCTATTAAGTTAAGCCTCAGTGATCATCGTGAGGGGGGAAGCTGAATTAACCTTCCTATTACCTTGGAGCTGACTCTGTTTATAGCTCACCGTTTCAACACTAGAGGGATCACTTTCACTTCCTCTTTGGGCTGCGTCGCTACAGGACACCACACAGAAAACTGACCTAAATCTCTGTTCTGCATACCCAGATAAAAGATTTATTAGTGCTTCAATTCCTCAGTGGTATTTTAGTGAAAAGTTCTACAACTAACAGAAAATATAAGATGAAATTTTAAATTCACTTTCAGTTTTTATTCTGTTTTTTATAACTCAGCGAGGTCTGTTATGAACAGGAGAGTTGTGTTTTTCAATCCATCAATGGGTTTCAAAAGTAAAAGGTGCCCAGAGTCAAGAAAATAAAATAGAAAATCAGAAATCTGACAGTAATGTTTTGGTGAATCAGTGAAACATCTTCCACCATCTTTATAGAGAAGGATTTACAGCCTGCTGCAGCAGGCTTTTGAGTTTATGATCATTTATTGGTGGACTATAAAGTTTTTTATAAACTTAATCAAATCACAGCATCAGCACTGGGAAAGTCTTCTGTTGTGGGTTTCAAAGAGCAAATAAACCAAAACAATGCATTATTTATTCATCCCTGTTAATTGTGTGTTAAATATGCAAAAACAAATTATGAATATAGTTAACAGAGCAACACTATGAGTTCAAAAATAAATGATGAATTTACTGTTTGGAGGATTTGTTGTTGTTTGGTGCAAAATTTGTTGGAAAATGTTATCCGAGTTCTGAATAAAACACAAAGCCTCGTGTTAAGGATCGCTTCAAGCAAGTAGCATTCAAGCACAGATGCTTTGTTCTGATTAATTAATCTGACTTTATTTGTTGTGAAATATTCTGCACAAAAAACAATGATCCCCTTCTGTGGAGTGTTTTACTGTAGGTTTTCCACCATCTATCAGTGTCACTTCCAGATGGATGCTGCTGTTTTTGTAATGAATAACATCAGATGAGAGGGGAGAGTTTTAATTTACAAGCAAAAACTATTAGAAAACACGCAGCATGGCATTTTCTTACTCATTTAACTCAGTCGGTGTGAAAACCATGTCAGGGGTTTGCACTCGTTCATGGCAGGAGAACCCGCAATGAGAACGTTTAAGCAGTGCTGCTATATTTTTATTTGGTGATGAAATCTAAATCTAAAAATCTAATGACGACCAGTTAATTTACTACGTTTCTCGGTGAATGCAATGGTATTTTCTTGGCCCTGTTGTAGCTGGTTTATTAATAATAATAATAATAATAATAATAATAATAATAATAATAATAATAATGTTGATTATGATCATTAATTTACGCACTTTTGTTTAGAGGAACAATATGTGAGAATTCTACAGTAAAATAATCACAAAACAGTCTAATGTTTGAATCCTGTTGGAAGGAAGGTTACATTGTAACAAATTTCCTTCTCAGCTGGCTGGAAGGTTGTTATTGGAATTTTCTCCTTTCAAAATGGCCAAAGAGTGGTGTGGAATTTTTTTTTTTTTTTTTTTTTTATCTGTGACGTAGAGCTAACAATGCTAATGGTGATTAGAAATAGTCTTCTGTAAAAAAAAAATCTCAAGCTACTTTTTAAATTACCAGCAGCTGGATTGTTCAGTGACATTTATTTGTCTACTTACAACTTACTGTGCATGGTTCGTCTTCACTCGCTATCTCAAATCTTTTGGTTCTGATCCGTAGAAGGTAGCGCGACTCAGGGTTGCGAATGACCACAGTCACCAATTCTTGTCTCTGAATTGTATGTACTGATACTCTAATTTCCCTCTGGGATTAATAAAGTATCTTTGATTTGATTTGTAGCTGGTAACAGCCATGAGACTCGCAGAAGGGCAGTGAGAAAGTCACTTATATGTTTGGAGGGTGGGCCGCAGTAACCGAATTTGACCACAAGATGTCATTCTTACTTCATTCTTACATAATGCACCTTTAAATCAATTAACCTTTATATATGTGAAAATCAATCCTTAATGTGACACCACACATTATATACTTCATAAAAAACATTTATTTTCAGTTCCAGAGAAGTTTAGATTTTTAGAGAAACTGAAGTCCATCCTGACAGCCCAATGTGTAAATAAGTATTAGGTTTACTGTCTAAATGTAGGTATTTTCATCAATTTGACTATATTCATTTTTTCTAGTTAATTGTTTAAAATATATAGCTAATTGCATTTTTTAAATATATAAACCTAATACAAATATTGATCAAATAAACATCAAAGAAGCATTTAATAATGAAATTTAATTATCCCGCATAGGAAAAAAAATCATTATGCTGATATCACCGTATCTATAGCTTCAATGAATCAAACTGTATCAATAACAAATGAACAGTACAGGAAAATAAAACATATCATCTCCCTGATTGTTTTATAATTTACTTACAGTATTATTAGGCTGAATCCTGATATATCTGATGCAGATACTCAAACAGACAAAACGTACCGATGGAGACGAAGTGCTCAGCTAAGCTTGACTTTTTAAAGCCGTTTTATAATTCCCTGACCCAGGTCATTGGATTTATAAAGAGATTTCACCGACACCTGCACACAGAGACGAAACTTGGGAGTGTCTCTACCAACCGTCTCAAACGGTTGGCGTATGGTGAGCTCGATGACTGAAGAGAACTTTATGTGCTCACATTTTGATCTGATAACAATGTTTTCACATAATCTGGGAAGATGTGAAAGTGCGAGTAGTTTAAAAATTTTTTTTCAGATTTTGTACAAGAAAGTTTATGTCAGAATGTGAGAGTTAGTGCTGTAATTTAGGTATGAAAGTTGGATTCAGTTCAGACAAAGAGGGAATTAATATATTTGAGTTATTTTTATTGAACTTTTATTAGTTTAAATAGAAATAATGTACTTGGGTTTTAGACTAAGGCCTTGTACACACATCCCCTCCCAAATCCATCTAGAAAAAACCTTGGGTCCACACCAGCTTGTTTTCAGGAAAAAACATGCAGTGCATTCTGAACATCATTCTGAAGCATGTGCCAAGCCTGTGGGTGGCAGTAGTTCCCCAAGTTGTTGACATCTTTTTGAAAAACATTCCTTGAATGTGGAATAAGTAGGTGGTGGGCAATAACTGTCCTCAAAATTATTTTTTATCAGTATTAATATTTTAATAGTATATTATTTTTGCCTCTCAGCCAGGATTTCCTTGAAAATCAGGTTTTTAATCTCAGTGGGACCTTCCTGGTTAAATAAAGAATGAATAAAGTAATACTGCTCTTCGCCAGTCCCAATACTTGGGGCCAATCCCAAAACTCGCACTGTGCCATTCGGTCTTTGGCTAAGTGCACTTGGAGGAAGTGCGCTGTAAGGCTTTGAGTGCGTAGTACACAAGCGTGCAAATAATAGCCGAATTGATGCAGAGAGCATTGCGTCAGACCACAATGCATGCCGGGATGCTGGTTGCTGTGATTCTTTAAAAAAAAAAAGTTTATTAACAACTTTCAAACAAACAAACAACCAGTTATTTGAAATCAATTTACATTCATTGCTGCTTTCCCTAAAAGTTTCAGAGCATCAACTCATCGTCCTGAAATGAACTACCTTCATTAGAAAATACATATTTTCAGAAATGGCACTTGAGCCTTTTCTCCCGCAGCAATGGCTTGTGGGTAATACCCTCCTCATCAATCAAGGGCACAAAAGGGGTGTAATCAACTTCCTCCCTCGGGAACCGGGACGCCCTACTCACTTGCACCCCTGGTTGGAATTACGTAATTGAAAAGAGTTGAAGTGCGAGTACTGGGACCGGGCCTTGCACGTCCACCCATGCACCCCTCATTTGAACACTCACGTCCAGTGATATGAGTGCGTATGTTGTCACGATTCTTAAGTGTGGACCATGGCTCCACCCCTGGTATGGGAACGGGTTACTCGTGAGCTTCACTGCATGCCAGTACACACCGGGAGAATCTCAGCTATGGAGAGGCTTCCCTGCCGTGTTCCTCGTTGGATATGTGAGACCATGAGATTCCTCGAGACTCCAAAGATCACGGTTTGTTTATGGCAGCCGCCATTAAAACAAAAAGAGGGAAATCACATTTGGCATTGATGTTTGATGTTATAAATTGTGTTGTTCCTCTCCACTGTAATGAAAGCCATGAAAAACACACCGTGGCACTTTTTCAACGATACTTGGAGTAAAGCCATTAGGTCACATGTATTGATGTGATCTACATAGATATGAAATCATTTCTCTGGAACAGTCCTTTATTTTGAAAATTACTGGAAGTCCAGTTGCCTTCATTTGAACCCTTTGGATTACTGGAGGTTTTACGCTGAAACAGTGTGATTTCCTGACCCTATGTTGTGGAAATTGTTGTGTCCCAGAAGCGGCTGGTGGTGCTCTCCACTGGACGTGAAAGCTGCGCGAAGCGGCTGCGAAACGTACTTAGCAGCAATTAGCCGCCATTGTAGTGGATGAGTTTATTTCCACTTGTAGCCATGTGTGATATTTTGAACGAGTCCCAGAAGCAAAGGGATGCTATCATTATGTTTCAAGTCTATTTTGTATGTGCTACACTGCAGTTTGAATCTAGCCAGACAGGAAGTCAAACAAAATCTGTGTTAACAAATCTTTCAAAATAAAAGTCACATGCCAAACGTCCTTTCCTGTGAATCTTCTATAACCGATGTAAACAGAACTGAAAATAAACCATAGCCCTTTTGGAGACATGCAGCTGTCTTTCTCTTTGCTTTTTACTGCGTGGACTTCTGAAATCTCACGTGGTGTTGCAATTCTCCCACGATTTTGTGGCATCACACCTTCGCTCCGTGTGTAGATGGTCTAAAGTTCATGACTTTTTTTATCGTGGTTTAATTCCAAGCAATCTTTTCTCACCCTAAATGCCACAGATGCTTGATGGACAAAGGATTTGTGAGAATCGGAAAATGGTTCTTCAAGCCACACGAGCTGGAAAGCAAGTCTCTGGGCAGCAGGTAAGATCTCACACACACACACACACACACACACACACACACACACACACACACACACACACACACACACACCTTAATTATCTTGCAGTGGGAAGTTTTGTGTCTCATTATTGCATGTGATGGTGTGAGGAAAGTGTGACTCAGCGTGACAGGATTTCATGTGATCCAGAGTTTATATTCTGCCAGCTGGCCAGTGGTGTGAGTCTGGTGTCCAGAGGTGAAATGAGCTGATAAAACACTGTGCGTGTGTGTGTGTGTGTGTGTGTGTGTGTGTGTGTGTGTGTGTGTGTGTGTGTGTGTGTGTGTGTGTGTGTGTGTGTGTGTGTGTGTGTGTGTGTGTACATGTCAAGCTGTGTAACAGTGATGTCAGTGTGTTAGACAGACATAGAGCCCGAGTAAAAGGAGGGGTGGGTGTGATGACAGTTCCACTTGTTGCTCCAGGCTTTATAGATCCCTTTAACAGCTCAGCGCTGCCCACTTTTCAGGGTGATGAGGATGTTCAGAGGCAGAGCATTTAGATAAGTGACTCCTAGGAAGCAGTTTTTCTACGGCTTAGTGGCTGCAGACGTAGAATTAAAATATAACCCTCCATTTATTTTAAAAGACATTGTTTTAAAAAGACTGCTGCATCTTTGTTATCCAATAGGGTGCAAATGAAGTGATGCAGAAGGAACTCCCACTTTGTAAAGTTGCTGACACGAGTGACATGCTGAGTGGAACCTGAGTTTAGCTGTTGAGAGCAGCTGGAAGACCCTCATTTAGGCTCGCTTGCCTGACACGTTGAGGGATTGTGTTTGCCACTTGTTCTGCTTATATCCGGGGATTACTGTGTGGATGTGACATCTTCATGTGTGGAAGTATCCTTATGGGAAACATGCTGCAGAGTGAGGTGGAGGAATGAAGGGGGAAACCTGAATAAAGCAAAAAGAAAATCATAAAGGCTGGTGCTTTGATTGGCGCTAACAGGGAATGTAAAAATGATAACCTGGAGTAGTCCGGTGTTTGTGGGTGAGCGTCTGCAGCGATGCGGTTGCTATAACAAACCTGAGTGCTGAAGCGAGAGCCCTGGGGCTGATGCAGCTCTTGCTGGAGGGATCATATCTCTCCGTTGGCTCAGAGCAGTTGGAGATCCCCCTGAAGCAGCTGGAGGAGGCTGCTGGAGAAAGAATGCTGCTTCTATCATAACCCTAAAAGTGGACCCAGCTATGAGTGAAAAAGTCATCAGATAATCATTCCAGTGTCTTATTTTTATAATCTTCACATTTACGTGACATTTTAAACATTTTTAAAATGTTAGTATTTATTATTATTATCTCTTTTAATCATGCTTAAAATGTTTTAGAAGCACCATGTATTTTCATCTTTAAAGGCACAAAACACTTCTTATTCTTTTTCAATGTAAGGTGAAATAAACGTAATAAAGCTGTTTTTTCATCATTCAGTGCTGCTGAAAATAACCTATGAAATCATGCTAATGGTGAATTAGAAATAGTCGTTTAAAAAGAAACATTTCAAAAGTGTATTTCACTAAAGTCACACCCAGTAGATGGAAGAAAATATTTTAAAAGAACCAGTCTGACCTCAGCTTTTCGCCGCATGATGTCAGCGCGTGGCGGTGAATGAAGCGGATGCCAGGATCCATATGCGGGTGAGGGAAGCAGGTAAGCAGGCACACAGGTTTTAATACGGAACACGCCAACATAGAAACAATGATCCAACAAGAGACACAGAACTGAAGGGGTTTAAATACAAGAGGGCTGGGCGCTTGGGTGATTGGGAAACGAGAGGCAGGTGGCAGCAATTAACATGGACACAGGACTGAACCGAAAGGGGAGACAGGACAGGGTGTGACAGTCCCCCCCCCCAAAAAGGGCGGATTCCAGACGCCCACAGGAACATAGAGCAGGGCGGGAGGAGGGGGACCCGGAGGGAGGGCCAAGAGGGACAGAGGGACCGATGGAGAAGAGGCAGGGACCAGTAGAGTCTGGGGGCCTGCGCCTGGGGCAGAGGAGGCGACAACAGGCTCTTGGAGGCCTTCGTCTGCGGCAGAGGAGGAGGCGACAACGGGCTCTTGGGGGCCTGCGTCTGCGGCAGTGGAGGAGGCAACGACAACAGGCTCTTGGGGGCCTGCGTCTGCGGCAGAGGAGGAGGCGACGACGACGGGCTCTTGGGGGCATGCGTCTGGCGAGGGCGGGACCGGCGGTGACCGGAGGCAGAGACATTGGAGACATCCTTGACTTTTGGACTGAAGGCGGCGGCGTCGACCTCTGGGCTGGAGGCAGCGGCGTCGACCTCTGGACTGGAGGCGGCGGCGTCGACCTCTGGACTGGAGGCGGCGGCTGCGGCCACGGGACTGGAGACGGCCACGGGACTGGAGACGGCACGGGACTGGAGACGGCCACGGGAATGGAGACAGCGTCGTTGGACTGGACACGGCGTCGACCTCTGGACACGAGGGAGCGTCAACCTCTGGACACGAGGGAGTGTCAACCTCTGGACAAGAGGGAGCGTCGACCTCTGGACACGAGGGAGCGTTGACCTCTGGACACGAGGGAGCGTCGACCTCTGGACACATGGGAGCGTCGACCTCTGGACACGAGGGAGTGTCGACCTCTGGACACGAGGGAGCGTCGACCTCTGGACACGAAGGAGCGTCGACCTCTGGACACAAAGGAGCGTCGATCTCTGGACACGAGGAGGCGTCGACTTCAGAACATGAGGAGGCGTCGACATCAGGACTGGAAGAGGTGTCAACATCAGGACTGGAAGAGGCATCGACCACAGGACTGGAAGAGGCGTCGACCACAGGACTGGAAGAGGCGTCGACCACAGGACTGGAAGAGGCGTCGACCACAGGACTGGAAGAGGCGTCGACCACAGGACTGAAAGAGGCGTCGACCACCGTCGACTTCTGGTCCGGGGGCGTCGACTTCTGGTCCGGGGGCGTCGGCTTCTGGTCCGGGGGCTTCGGCTTCGGGTCTGGGGGCGTCGACTTCTGGACCGCCGACTTCTGGACCGCCGACTTCTGGAACCTTCGACTTCTGGAGTGGAGGCGGAGCCGCTGCAGGAAGAGCTGCTGACTTCTGGGCGGGCCGGCCTGGGGGAAGAGCCTCTTGGGTCACCGCTAGGACCGGAGCGGACCGAACTGGAGGCGCCAGAAACTGGGAGAGCAGGGAGGACAGACCGTCCAGCTGGAGCTCTTGGAGACTGAGGCTCTGATGGAGTTGGGCCAGCTCAGCTCGGAGACCGGCGAGCTCTGCTGGGTGGACTGCGGGCTCGCTCCTCTGACCCTGAGACGAGGGAGCTGCTGACTGGACTGACACCTTCTCCTGGTGATTCGGGGAGGATAGGGTATCCAGCTGTAGCTCCTGGAGGCTGACGAGCTGGGCTGTAGGCGTGGTTCCTCCGCCTGCAGATGACGGAGGCGCTGATTGGACCGGAGACGGGACTGCTGGTCTGACTGGGGGCGGGTCCAAGCTGGTGAGCCGAGCCGGAGCAGCGGCGAGCTCGCGGCTCCATCCTGGGACACAGGGTTGCGGTGGAGCCCGGCATCCTTCCCAACGCCGTGGGCCAACTCGGGGGGAGCACACAGCCAGTCTGGTACCCACGTAGCAGGAGCGGTCTGGCAGCGTCTCCCGGTCCAACCTCTCATCTGGCTCCGGGAGGGTGGAGAGGATCGCTAAGGCTAAAGTTCGGTGACGGCGTCCGTAGCGAGGCGACGCCGGAGGACGAGAAGCCGGCCGGTGGACCGAGGAGAGGAATTGGAGCAGGCACTCCCAGGGGAGAATCTCCCCGCTGGATCCTTTAGTGGGTTGGATCATTCTGTCAGCGCGTGGCGGTGAATGAAGCGGATTCAAGGATCCATATGCGGGTGAGGGAAGCAGGTAAGCAGGCAGGAACGATTAAAGGTTTTAATACCGAACACGCCAACATAGAAACAATGATCCAACAAGAGACACAGAACTGAAGGGGTTTAAATACAAGAGGGCTGGGCGCTTGGGTGATTGGAAAACGAGAGGCAGGTGGGAGCAATTAACATGGACACAGGACTGAACCGAAAGGGGAGACAGGACAGGGTGTGACACATGACACCCTTGGTTATTTAGCAAAATGTACACTTTGATTTTACATTTTTACGCGCTATGATTCCATAATGTTTCAAGCTCAGCAGTTCAGATCATGCCAGATAGGAAACCAAACCTGGGAGCAATGTAAAGCATCCAGTACATTTCTAAATAAAGGACGTGCATATTTACTTATGCTTTAAAAAACAACAAACATTTGCCATAATCTGTGAAATCTCTGTGGCCAATGTAAAAATAAAATAAAATTAAATTAAATTGAATTAAACACAGACCTTTTGGATATAAGCTACATCATTAATAATAATGATAATACATTCAGTGCCTTTCAAAACCCATGGTCACCTTACAAGAAACATGATAAAAAGTTGCTATAACAAACATTTCAAGGAATACATTAGTAATGACAAATGGACAGCTTTTTGACTAGAGAGAATAGAGCCTAATTCATACTCCGTCTGTGTCCATTATGCATCGGCACGAGGGCTCTCTGATGGGCTTGCAGAGATGGAGGAAAACCTGCCCAAATGTTAACTATTTGTAGAAAGTGACAGAGACTGATTGGTCAGGATGCCGCTTCCTTTAAATTTTTCAATAGCAGTGCCATTGCCCCCTCAAAAAATAAAAAGTTATTTGAACAGACCTGGAACAGATTGAAGAATGTCTTGTGGAAAAAGCCTGAAAATATGAATGTTTATCCTAGCCTGGCCTGCCAGACTCCTCTGTTTAATTCTGAACAGAGAAAGGGTCTGGGAACTCTCCTGATCAAATAACACCACCCCCTGAGAATTCTAACCGAGCCAATCAGCGCTGAGTAGCGTACGTCACACACCATAACGCCAAGTTTGTCATAAACATGGCGACTGAATCAGAGTTAGCTGCGGCTCTTTCCTTTGTTCTAAATGACTTGGACACGTC